AGCTTTAAGCTTCATAAAGATAAACTCAGTAAAATGCAATTTTAGGGTCTAGTCTAACAGAAGGTATTAAACAATGAAACAAAGTACTACAACTTATTATGATCAATGAACATCATGTCTTGCACGGCCAAACAAAGGAAATAAAAACTACAACTTAGCCCCTGTTTGGGCTTCATTTTAATTTTATACGTTTTTCTTCTTCTTCTTCTTCATTTCCAATCACACATTCTTTAATGAAATAATATTACATACAAATTCAAAACTTTTCCTTATTTTTTAATCACACGTTCTTCTAAAAATTAATTTTCTCAAAACCCATTAAACTGGAGCCCAAACAAGGGCTTAGCTATCACCTCACTGTCCCTTCCCCAAGCAAATCGAATGACAATTGATACATTAATGCCTCGTTTGGTACCCATTTTTTTCAAAATGTATTTTTCTCTCTCTTCTTTTCAACTACACATTTTTTATTAAAATAATATTACACGTAAATCAAAAAATTTTCCTTATTTTTTAACCACACATTTATCATCAATTTACTATTCTAAAATGCATTTTTACAAAAAAATGGTTATCAAAAACCCTCTAAATGTAAATTACAGTAAACAACATACACTAACCAATTTCAAAAGGGTTAATTTCACAAACGGTCACTGAACTATAGAGAAAATTACAAAATGGTTACTGAAATTTAAAACTTTCAATAACGGCCACTTAAGTTTTGGAGAGCTTTCAAAAATGGTCACTGAAATTTAAAAACTTGCAAAACCGATCACTGAAATTTAAAAACTTTCAGAAATGGTCACTGAAGTTTAAAAACTTTCAGAAACGCTCATTGAAGTTGTTTTTTCAGTTTTTTGGGCTACTTTAGCGAAAACTTTTCAATCATTTTCGACCACCGATACCACCAAATTTTGATACCGTTGAAAAACCCACAATGTCTCTTCTATTACTACCCAAAATCTCCCCATAACTCCAAAGAATTCGACCAAAAAATCGCCGTAAAAATCACCAAAAAAATCTGAAAATCTGCCAAAATCTTCAAAATTTTGGGCAATTTTTGCGGGGATTTTCCTGCGAATTCCGACCACCAAACCAGATAATTTTGGATGGTAATTGAAGAGGAGATTGTAGGCTTTCCAACGGTATCAAAATCAGGCAAAATTGATGGATGGAAGTTGCCGGAAAGTTGCCGCAAAAATCGCCCAAAAAACTGAAAAATTTGCCTAGATTTTCGTCTTTTCGGGTAACCAAATTTGTGGGTTTATTCCAGCCGAATCTTTTGGATTTTGGGGGAGATTTTTCATGGTAATTAAAGAGGACACTGTAGGCTTTCCAAAGATATCAAAATTCGATGGTATTGGTGACAGGAAGTTACCAGAAAGTTGCCTCAAAGTAGCCCATAAAATCAGAAAAATCTACCCAGATTTTCACCTTTTCGAGTAGCCAACTTTGTTAGTTTATTCCAGCAGAATCCTTTGAAGTTTGGGGGAGATTTTTGATGATAATTGAAGAGAACATCGTAACCTTTCCAATGATATCAAAATCCAGTGGCATTGGTGGTCGGAAGTTGTTGGAAAATTGCCTCAAAAGTAGCCTAAAAAACTAGCCCACATTTTCGCCTTTTTGGGTAGCCAATTTTGTGGGTTTATTTCGGCCAAATCCTTTGAAGTTTGAGGGATATTTTGGATGGTAATTTAAGAGGATATTGTGGGCTTTCCAAAAGTATCAAAATCCGACAAATTTTTCGATTTTTTGGGCGAATTTTGCAACGATTTCTGGTCGAATCCCTTGGAATTATGGGAGATTTTGTGTGGTAATTAAAGAGGACATTGTGGTCTTTCCAACGGTATCAAAATTTGACGGTATCGATGATCGGAAGTGGCCGAAAAATTGCTGCAAAAGTAGCCCAAAAAATTGAAATTTCAGTGACCATTTTTGGAAGCGTCTGGAAACTTAAGTGACCGTTACTGAAAGTTTTAAAATTCAGTGACCGTTTTGTAATTTTTGCCTAAGTTTAATGACCATTTGTGAAATTAACCCAATTTCAAAAGCATTTCCAATGACACAAGAATAAAGCTTCTGTAACAGGGAGGCAGTCGAAGCCCCACAAATGGGGGTGGGGCCTGCAAAAAAAAAAGGGACCTACCCCCACTATTTGTGGGGTTCAGTCAAGGGGCGGTCAGCCCCCCCTATTCCTGTAGCAAATCTCTATGAACAATTGTAGGACCAGATTCATCGTACTAGCCCTTTGAGATCCACATCTCCACGAGCAAACACATATTACAAATGTACACTTTCATTCATTCATTCATACGAACGTATGTAATGCATATAACATATGCAAATCGAACAAGAAGACTTAACAAATGTTCCTTCTGCGCACATCTTTTGAAATTTAAAGGGTTGATTTTGGGGGAGAGGGGGAGGAGGAGGCAAGTGTTAAGGAACGAGGCATTCAGAGCGTTGACAAAAGAATAAATGTCACCTCTTGGAAGGTACTTAGAGATGCTAGGATTGATCCCCCAATCTAGATATTGTACTCTCGCTCAGGTGGTGCCACCACCTTAATCTTCATGCTGTTGGGAGCGAGAGCTGTACTTTCCTCACTCATGCGATCAGAAATACCAGGGAACATAGTTAAACCACCACTGAGCACAATATTTCCATACAGATCATTCCTGATATCCACATTGCATTTCATGATGGAGTTATAGGTTGTTTTATGAATTCCTGAAGATTCCATTCCTGTTAATGATGGCTAGAATAAGACTTCTGGATAACAGAACCTCTCAGTCGCGATGGTGATGATTTGTCCATCAGGTAGCTCATAGCTCTTTTCAACAGCAGAGCTACTTTTTGCAGTCTCCAATTCCTGGTCAAAATCGAGTGCACATATGCAAGCTCCTCCTTCACATCACGAACAATTTCCCTCTCGACACTTCTAGTGAACGTGTAACCTCTCTCGGTTAGAATCTTTATGAGATAATCAGTGAGATCACAACTAGCAAGGTCCAACCACAAAATGGCAAGGGGAAGTGCATATCCCTCATAAATTGGAGCAGTGTGCTCACTCTATCACCAGAATCAAGAACAATGCCTATTGACAAGCAGGGGCGGAGCCAGGAATATTATCCAATGCGGGCAAAAAATTTAATTAAGGTCGGATTTTGGATTTTCGGGATCTAAGACAAACTTTAAATTTGGATCCTTGTATTATTGTATGCAATATGCATTCAATTTTTCTTAACTAATTTGTAACTCAAAGAATAAAATAATAAGACAAAATGAAATATTCAATTCCAAGTAAAGTTCGACCATGAATTTAATGATGGTAAAAATACCAAAAATAACTTAGTTTTTAAGTTACATTTGTTCCTTGCATATTCATCACCATTGTTGATGAATAATAGTATTTCTATTAATTCATAACATAAACTTTATTCAATTTTTAATCGTCTGAACTTTTAGACGATATTATTTAGCTTCATGCCAACTTGACACAATAATGTAAAGCGGAACAAGCATGTTATGACAA